GGAAAATTGTTATATTGTAGATTTAAGGGATACAACAAATATATATTATATTCCTTATAAATTTCAACTCAATCCGGACATTATTCACGAAATTTAAGTAGGTCAATGTTAACTTTATTTTTTTTAATTAGTGAGCACAATATTATGATTGTCCGTAATATTGTCCTCATAACCCTATATACTGTATAGTACCACAGTTATTTTTCGTTAAAATTTGTAAATTAAAAAAAAGCATGTTTACCCGTTACCGAACAGTTGTCGATCAATATACAAACATTTAAAATAATGAAACAAAACAAGTTGATTTTTTTTCTTAAACTATATGTTTTAGCAAAAAAGATTTGCGTTAGTGACATGTGAACTTTGTGTATGCGGACAACATACTCAACAAATTATACAATTTACATATCTTGATGGGTGTATATAGGGAAGGGGAGGTAGAAATTGGTTATATTGTAGATTGAAGAGATACACCAAATGCATATCCCTTGTAAATGTCAACTCGATCCGGACAAATTCGTTTAAATTTAAGTAGGCCAAGTCGGCTTTTTTTTTTTAGTCTAGTGAGTAAACTTTTTTGTTTGCCTGTAATATTGTCTTTAACGCACTGTACTGTATAAACACCGTTCTTTTTTGTTTGAATTTGTAAATTTAAAAAAAAATGTTTAACACATGTTTTTTCAAAAATGATGTAGGGCGTAATAAGTTACAATTCGAATAGATATTTATTCTAATGTGTAAATATTACAGCAGCCTTTAGATTGCTGAAGTATTGAACAAATATAGTACATTTTGGGTTAAATACTGCTTGTTCTTATAACTCTAGAAATATATTGAAATTCAATTTATCTGATCATAACCTCCTCCCCTCCACGAGAGCATTAGTCTCTTACAATCAATATTGACCTCAGTAACATTGATATTTTTGCTCGACCAATAATACTGTAAAAACTTTTAATTATCTTTGAATTGTTATTCAGTTCTTAAACATTAATAAAAGCAGTGCCGGTTTTCCCGGGGAGGCAAGGGAGGCGGTGCCTCCCTTGAAAATTGAGGAAACTATGTACTTAATATTGTTATTATGATGAGATATTTTGGTTTACATTAAATATTTTCAATCGAAAATATTGGAAAAAATGTATATGAACAATAATTTTTGAAAGCGAAAAAAAAAATTTAAGAATTTGAAATAACGTCTCTCCGTATCAGCGGTGACCGTCTGAAAGCAACGGCCGCCGTCCGCCGGCCGCTGCCTGTTGTTAGTCACGTGGCATAAGGGCAGCCGGTGGAGGCGGCTGCCGCTAATGTCTCACGTTATGTTGTTGTGTTCACAACATACACACACACACATACATAAAATAATACGAATAGCGCATGCGCAATTCTCTGCGAGAGGCGACACAAAAATATTACCTTTGTGGGCAACTGACCGATGGTCGTTCTTATCTTGGGGAAGAAATGGGACATGGACATTCAGCATGTACATCAGCACCGACACTGCCAACAACAAAACGCCATTTCCCATTATCACTAAATTATTTATCAGCAGTCCCAATTTGAATTTTGATATCACTATATTTTTTACTTAATTCTGATACCGGTTTACTATTTGGCGTTTTATTTAGTATTCTTAAGTTATTAGTTAATATATTATTATACTTATAAGCTTTATTTTTTTTTTTCAAAATGAATCCTGTATATGACAGTATAGTGGTTATTAAGCAGCATCCATACAGGAAATCGTTTGCGATTATAATTTCATCTTTTGTAAATTGTATTTACATATGCTTTTATGATTATACATTTATCTTAAGTTCGTACATTTTAATGATAATTATTTTAATAGATGACCGGTAATGCGATTATAACTAATAACTAGGATAATAAGCAAAAGTCTTCTCTCACAGTTAAAAAAGGGAAGTATACCAGTATGAAGAAATTTTAGGTCTGGGGGGTTTTGCGCTTTTTTTTATCAATAAGGGTACAAAGTTGTTGCCTCCTCAACAATTTAATGCCAGAACCGCCACTGAATAAAAGTAATAAAATATAAACGATTTAATTTGAATTAGTTTGGTGTTTCGTTCAACGTTTTTAATAATTTTATTGATTGTAATATTTAATTTGTTACATAACAAATACACATTGTAATATAATATTATTTTGACTTTAAAAATTCTTGTGCTTTGATTTATTAAATTCCTTTTAATAGATATCGTGAACATTTACATAGTGTCCCTGTACATAATAACATACAGGATGGGGTGGAGCCGACTGGCGAGTTTTGAAGGGCTACAAATAACGATTAGTAGAACTTTGAAAAAATGTGTTTGTTTTATTAAAATCAGTGTGAAATCCCGTTTTTTAAGTTATGTTTTTTAAAATATGCCTCCAAGATATTTGGAGTTTACTTATCGATCTTTGGATCTGTGAATAAACAGAATTTTCGATACTGGCCTGAAAATAACCCACGGAAACTCCATGAAAGACCATTCTACTCCACTAAAGTGACAATGTCCCAATTTGGGAAATACTGTGTCCCAATTTGGGGTGATCGGACGGTACTTTTTTGAGGAGGACAACAGGACTGTCACTGTTACTTCGGCGCGATATGTTGGAAACTTAACTGCAGCACTGGTTGGAAGAAATGGATGAAGAATATGACTTGGGGGATGTATGGTTTCAACTAAATGGGGCTACAGCGCACACAGCTCGAAATTTGCTAGTTTTTTATTCGACAATTGTTCCCTGGGCGGTTGGTCTCTCAAGGGGTGACGTGGGCTGGCCGGCACGCTTCCCTGATTTTAGCATGTGCTATTTTTTCTTCTGGGGCTTCCTTAAGGATAAGGTCTTTAAACATCGTCCCTATACCTTAGCAGACCTGGAGGAGAGAATCACTGAAGAAATCGTGGTCATACCCATCGAAACGTGCTGAAGGACGCCTTCGGAAATCGCTTACAACAACGTTTTGCTAAAGACGGCCGTCATTTTGGTGATATCATTTTCAAAACGGGATTTGTTAATGATTTTAATAAAGCAAACCATTTTTGTCTAAGTTTTATTGTTCGTAATTTACATCCCCTCAAAACTCGTTAGTCGACTTCGCCCCACCCTGTATATATACTACAGTCTACTTGTTGACTATATAAAGACTATGACGTGTCAACACACCAATTGCTTACAATCAGGTTTATGTTAAATATTCATTATGTATAGTACTATTATTATATCCTAAGAAAATCTTTTTAGGTTAATTTAATTTTTAATGTAAATTTTTTCATAATTTTTAGTTTAAGGGAAAAAAATGTCTATACAATGCGCTTTAATAAATGCGAGTGAAAAGGCCCCTTAAGAATACATTTTATTATTTTATATTCGCCTCGATTACCGAATTAATACATCGTTGAAGTTGAATTTTGATTTTGTTCGCTCTAGGTATGTACTAGTGTTTGTTTATATTGTATTTTGCATATTTTTTCCAAGGTTCTGTTGTATGTTTTGTCTGCGAAAATATCTATTCTGATAGAACAAATGTAAAAAACACATTTACAATTAAACTAGCCCGATGTACTTTATGTTTGATTTTAAATCCAAAAACTACTGCTAAAAAATGAGTAAATAAATTTTTTTTAACCCTATAATTTTAATATGAAAAATTTGCTGATTTTTAGGGTGGTTATGTCGATTTTGAGGCAAGGTTGAAATTGTTTTCTGTTTGGCTTTACCTTAAGGGATACAGTCGCTTTCAGATAAGCATTTCGATTTAAATCTACACACCATAAGGTCACACAGATTTTGAACGGGCAATCCATACATACAAACAAAACCCGTTACTTTATTCTGATTAGCCGTTTTTTTATTAAATATTTTCTGGCTTCAATAAAATTCCCCGAATGATCTAGAATTTGTTTAGGTCATATTTTATGAAACGCCAAAGTTACATTGAAAACAACTGCAAATGAACTACCTACAGTTTTAAATAATGTTAAACATCTTTTTTAGAAAGCGTGCCTTATTTAGGTCTTTATTTAAGGTACTTATTGACTGTGAATAACTAACTTGGTTGTTGAAATTGTATTTAAATACTAGAGATACTATTATTTTTAAAAATATGTAATTTTAATGAAATGACACACATATTTGACCACCCTGCCAGGGCCGTATTTAAACGCAAGCTTAATAGGTTACAGCCTAGAGGCCCGAAATTTCTGTAGTAATTGTGCTGGTGTAAAATTTAAATTTGCTTCTTTTGCATTTATATAATTTAACAGATAAAGTTCTATGCCTTGTAACAAAGGCTTACAGATTCACATCCAATTTCCTAATCTAAATAGGTGTATTGGAGAGTTGATGGGAAATGGTTATTATTTAGATTTGAGGGGCACGCCGTATAAATATTTCTTTTAAATTTCAACTTGATCTGGCCTCGATAATTAAAACATTTTATAGCTTTTTTTTACAAATTAGAGTGAACGAGTCAACTATTAAAATTATTACTTAAGTGATTTCATCACTCTCTGTTATAAAATCTCCTGAAGAACTGTGACCTTCCCGTCTCTTTAATTAGTAAAATATTCGTAGCTATTAAAATAATGCACCACTATTACTTTTGTTAAGTCCTTAAAATGACATAATTTGAATAGTCAAATAGTGTATTTCGTATTATTACTCAAGTAGTTGATAATAATATGATTAGGTGGATGACCCAAGTATTACAAATTTTGGGATTGTAATCCGTTCTTTATTGAGTATTGAGTCTAAATAATGACCAAATTCCCTCAACAAGTACTACCAAACACCTTGGGGTACAGTTTGATTCAATTTGACAATTGTATAAATCGCATATTTTAAAAAAAAAGCATAAATCTTGGGTAGGCAAACATTTTTTATTGGTTTGGTTACAAAATAAATAATGCAAATCTTGTTGTTTGTTTTTGAACATAATAAACATCTTAGTGGAGGGTTTCGTCATATTATATATATATGTATTATTACACAAAATATTTTATTTCTTATTCAGTCTCTTATTGTTTTACAAGATGGCTTTAACAAAAATCATTACACTGACCATCGTGTCACTTTTTATCTTAATAGCAATTACAGGTAACATATATTTTAGTTTTTTGCAATTATAGTTATTATTGTAAATTATGTACATACTATTATGTTACAAAATAATGATACACATATTGTTTAATTATTTTCATATGTTATGTAATAATTATTTTAATGGTTCGTATGATTAAATTGCGTTAATGCATTTAATGTATTACAGCCGTTAGTGGAAGACCCAGTGGTACAGGTAATTCATACATTTAGTTTTAACCTACTCAACGTAGCAATGAAGTATCTCAATTTTTTGTAAAGCCAGTGTATCTTTTTATACAAATTTACTTTTATGAGGCGTCAAACGAATTTTATTTTAACCTTTAAGTCATAGTTATAAAAAAATGTAATGGTAATTTTTTTAACAATTTTTGAGCAAATCAAAAAACTGGGGATACAACTGTGTTGAACTCCAAATGCATTACAAATTAAATAAATTTAGACAACTACCAGTAAATGTAAAATTAAGTTTTTTTTTTTTAGTCGACTAGTTATGTATTGTTAGTTTGATACATTATTAACTATATTAATATTGGTCTCTCGTGCATGGCGTATAAGATGAGATAAGCGTTTTCATCCACCGATTAATTAGTATCATTTAGAATTAGTATAATTCGTTATGTTAAAATTAACAATATCTTCATTCTGATATTTGAATTAAATTTTATGAAATACCTGTTTTATTTATTTAATTCGCTTTATTATATATATAAACAACACTTATTGCAGGAGGAAGTGGTGGCAGTTACGGCAAAGGTAAAAACATTTTTGGTTTAATTTATAAAAAAAAAAATATAGGTAAATAAAATACTAATAGTTAAATGTTCAAAGTTCAACGAAGTTTTCCATTATGATCCGTTAATGGTTAAATAACTTATATACGATTTGATTATTGTACAGACATAAATAAGTATTTTTGTCTATGATGAATATGTTTTTAGCAGAAAGGAAAAGGTTATGATTTTATACTTAAGTAGTTAATTATATAATACCGTAGTTGACACAAGTATTGCTAATTTAAAGGGCTTTTAATCAATTTTTTATTGAGTATATTAAGTCTATAAAATTATTTATACAATAAATCTATGCATTTTACGTACCTAGCTTAAAAGAACAATGTATTTTATCCCATTAAAGTAACGTATGCCTACATTTTTTTATTGAAGATGTTGTATTTTTGTATAACATTTTACAGCAATCTGAACTCTTAATATGGTTTTATTGTGTTGTTTAACAGACCACGGATATTTTCGGAAAATGTACATTTTGTGTAAATCTTGCGTAGTAAACAGCTTCTTGATACAATATAATTGTTTTTCATTTTTGACTAAAGGTTTAGTTTAAAATCCTATAATGGAAATCGTGTTGTTTTTGAACATAGTAAAAATGTTATTCGGGAGATGCATTATTTTAACTTTTTTAGCTTACTTAATTATAGAAAACTCTTGTCCAGTCGAAAATTCGAAACTATGGAAAATTCGTGTTGTTTGTTTTTGAATATAATTCAAATATTGTAATCTATTTATTTTGCATTTATTGTACAAAAAAATAATTATTTGTATGCAGGATATAATGAAATCAATAAGGACACAAGAACACGTATTATTAAAGCGGTCGGTATGTATCGGTATCTATTTTAGTTTACCTAATTTTAGAAAACTTTTGTCTTGTAAGCTTTCAAAAAAATAAATCTCATAAATTTAAACAATTGCAAGTAGTAAAGTTAAGTTAATTTAGTTGACTAATTATCTATTGTTAATTTAATATAAAATTGTTTGTGTTTGATTGGCCACGTAAAAGATAATATGAGCACTCCACTCACAGATAAACTTGTGTTAATTTTTTACATCAAAATTAACAATGCGTTTATACTGATAATTGAACTAAGTTTTATAAGGTATAATTATATTATTTATTTCATTTTATCATGTATAAAAACCATTTGTTTTATCGAGCTGATAAAAAGGGCAAACCATTTGTTCAGAGCATTATGTCTTTTAGGATGGTTAAAATATCTAATATTTTGTATTAATTTCACTTATTGTATACAGCAACTAGTGATGGTGACAGTGACAGTGACACTAACCTACAAAAAAAAATATGGAATTCACCAAAAAGTGGTAATTCCGGTATGTATGCTTTCGTAGTTTTTTTGTAATTTTTTTGTGTGATTATCTATTTTTTTTTGTTTATATAATTTCATAATTTGGATTTTTGGAGTTTTTGAAACGCTGCAATATAAATGTCCATAATTCATACAATCCGTTCGTTATCTCACGAGCCGCTATTAAATAATGATTATTACATTAAGATTTTTAACTCGGATTTGTTTCACCATTATTACTGTTAGATAATAAGCATGGAACATTAACTTTTAGCAGTTACTACTTACTTGTTGACTATATTAATATTTGTCTCCGTTATGTGGCATGTAATATTAGATGAGCGTTGTCATCCGCCGATCAATTAGTATCAATTCATTATGATAAAATTAACAATATGTTCATTCTGATATCTTAATTAAATTTTATGAGATACCTATTTTAATTATTTATTTCACTTTATTATATGTATAAATAACGCATATGGTATGCAGAAGGAAGTGGTAGTAAAAGTGGCCTCAGTAGCAAAGGTAAGAACATCTTTTTTTTATTTATAAAAAAAAAATATGTAAATAGAATACTTTTAACTGTCCAAAGTAAAACGAGGTTTTTCATTCCCATCCGTTAATGATCAAATAACAGCTTATATATTAGTGTAATAAACTATATTACACTTAATATTAGTGTAACAACTTAAACAAAAACTTTTTGATACAAAAAAAAACATGTTTTGTTTTCGACGAAAGATTGAATGCAGATCTTGTTGATGGTTTTGGAACATAATACAAATATTGTACTAATTTACTAATTGTTTGTATGCAGGCGTTGATACAACTAAGAAGTTAAGCACTGACAAAAAAAAATAAAGCTGTCGGTATGTATCTGTAATTATTTTAGCTTACTTAATTATAGAAAACTCTTGTTTTGTCGAAACTTTCAAAAAAATTAATCTCATCAATTTAAACAATTACAAGTAGTTAAGTTAAATTAGTTGACTAATGATTTATTGTTAATTTAATATAAAACCATTAGATTGGCCACGTAAAAAATAAGATGAGCGTTTTCATCATCCACTCACAGATAAACTTATATTCATTTTTTACGTTAAAATTAACAATACGTTAATATTGATAATTGAACTAAGTTTTATGGGGTAGAATTATGTTATTTATTTCATTTTATTATGTATAAAACCATTTGTTTGCTTACTGTATGCAGCAACTAGTGATGGTGACAGTCAAAAATTATGGGTTAAACCAAAAGGTAAAAAGTATTAATTATCTTTTCACTGTTATATTATTTTTCACATTTATTATCAATTATAAACATTAATAAAAAATAAACAATTAAATTTGAATTTATTTGTATTTTCGTTCAACGTTTTTAATAATTTCATTGATTGTATTATTTAATTATTTACATAACAAATACACATTATCTATCTATATATATAAAAATGAATTCTTGTTTGTCTGTCCTTTATGCATTATTACACCATTCATTCGATCACCATGAAACTTTGAGAAGTTGTTGAGTACACTCCCGCGAAGGTAACTGGCATAGTACTTAACTAAATTTCTACCCCTAAGGATGGCCTAAAACACGAACTTTGTACTTTAAATACGAAATTTTTTTCGTTGCTAAGCCAAAATAAACACTTGGTTTTTAACCATGGTAACCACGGTGCTCGAGCGAATAGTAGGTGATAATTGAAGGAACATGCCGATTCTGGGACTCTATTATACATTGAACCTGGATCTGGGACTGGGACTAGTACTCTTGAGTAAGAGGGGGGCATAATCAATATACTGTAATGTACATAATATGTAGATCCAAAAAAAAAACAGAGACGGGGTGTGCTAAAGTTCTACAATATACAACTTGGAGTACTGAGTTTTTTTTATCTTATTAGTAATTATTTTACTCATCCCTGGCAAACTAAATCCCGGACAACACCGTGTCCGAACAGCTTGGGGGGGAAGGGGGTGGTAAATGGTTATATTGTAGATTTAAAGGATACAACAAATATGTATTCCTTATAAGTTTCAACTAGATCTGAAAATTTTTCACGAAATTTAAGTAGGTCAATGTTAATTTTCTTTTTTTTAAATTAGTGAGCACAATATTATGATTGTCCGTAATATTGTCTTTGAAACACTATAATATAGTGTATACCTACAGTTACTTTTCGTTAAAATTTGTTAATTAAAAAAAAATATGTTTACCTGTTACCACAACTGTACAATAAATATAAAAACATTTAAAATCATAAAAAAAGAGTTGTTTTTTTTCTTAAAACCACTTGTTTTAGTAAAAATATTGTACAACATTAAAGTTACAATTCGAATAGATATTTATTTTAGAGTGTGAATATTAAATCAGCAATTCAATTGCTGAATTATTAAAGAAATATAGTATATATTTTGTTATATACCTATTATAAGTGTCAATTTTATTTATGAGCGTGTCTAGCACTTGCATTAAAATTTTCCACGACAGTTTTCTTCTATTATAAATGTATGGGAACTATTAAATTTCGACCAATTAAGTTTTCACTCTAGACTAATTTATACAATTGTTTCTTCTCATAAGGTTAGAAATGTTTTGTTATGCCATCTCTCTAATCACAAAACACTCTCTCTCTCTCCAAAAGAGCATTAGTCTAGCATATTATTGCTATAAGCATTAACTTGTAACTAAATAACATCTGCCCTTTAATGATAGCCCTCTAACGGTATTTTCAAACTACACATACACGTAAAATATTTTATTTGAAGTCACGTTTTTGATTGAGTTTTTTTAAAATTAAATAATCAACAATTTGTTTAGTCAAATTTTTTTATAATATTTTATGAAGAGAATCAAACAATAAGAAGTACACGACCAATCATATTTGGAACTATTAAAACCAACGAACAACTATTTACTTTTGTTAAGTCCTTAAAAGAATATAACTTTATGAAAAAACCAGAATAATAATATATGTATGATAAAAATAAAACCACTACTAAATTGGTGTATATTATTATACATGTGACTGAAATCCAAATCTGCGTAGTATACAACATCTTGGATACTTCAATCTAAAATAGGCAATAACAAAACACTATTTTTGAAATTCTAGCCTGTTGTTTTCCTATGATTATTATTACCATATGGTATTTAACAAGCATTACAACTCAATAAAATTGTTAACAAAAAAACTTAATTAGAATAGAACATAAAAATAAAATAGTAAAGATATAATATAATTGTTGGTTGGTATTTTGCTAGTTTGTTATTTAAATGGAAAGTTGTAGCCTCCGTGTTTTGTATGTTCGGCTTAAAGCGCCACTGTTGGAAGTATTTGTGGAGTTTTTCTAGGTCTTGATTGAGTATGGCTTCATTATTTTCAAATTGTTAATGTTGTGTAGTTATCGTGATGTCGTCTGCGTATGCAAATTTTCGAGAGGTTGTAGCCGGTAAATCACTGATGTACAGATTGAAAAGAGTCGGCGCCAGTACTGAGCCCTGCGGTAGTCCATTATTTAATTGTTTTGTCGAGCTTCTGGACGCTCCTATAAGGACTGTAAAACATCGATTTGTTAACATCTCGTTTAAAAGTTTATAAAAAGTCAAACATTTGTGTAGTAATTTTTTTATCTGCGTGCACTTCCCAACTGTACTTCCCCTTCTGTCCTAACTACGTTATAACATCAAAAATAGTTATCCAAAACTGGTTATCAAACGGACAAAATGTTCAGTATGTTATTCTTAATTAAAAAAGTTAATAAAATATATACGTTACCATTAATGTTTCAAAAGTTGCTATTAAAAAAAAAATTATTTTAGGAGGGGGGTAGGAACATGAAAATTTGTGAAAAATTGAGATCACATTATACAAAAAAACTATGGAAAAAAAAAATTGATTTATTAATTAAGCCCAGCGAGATATATAACGGACTATAATAAAAGAAACACCTTGTACGTACATACATAAATACGTAAATGTTTCTATTTGTATTAATTGGATTTGTAACATTTTCTTCTGGCACATACTTTTAAATGTTATCATTAACAAAATGCAGTATAGAATTATTTGAAAAATTTTGTATTTTATTTTTTACTATATTATTTACAAATTTAATTTGGCGTATAAATCGAGAATAATTCATAATCATAAATTACAAATAATAATAATTTTATAGAAGTTAGTGGGTTTGTCACCATGGTACTGTGCAACGGTCGGTGACACACGGCGGTAGTCGTTACGACATTACGTTGACAAAAATCAAAATTTTACCTAATTTTTTAGCTTTTAAACACACCATTGTCTTCAACGCAAAAATGCATATAAGATTAAAAAAAAATGATTAACATAAATTATTTAAATCTTGTGTAAATCAACCAACGTTACATTAAAATAATATTGGACAAAAATGTCACTGCCTATCGTTCTATAATAATAACGTATTATTGTTTATGGATACTGTAATGAACTGTAGAGTCCAATACAAACACTATCTTAACAGTATAAGAAATGTAGTAATTAAATGATTTAGACTTTAGTAAAACAAATAAACTGCCAAGATAGATTTGATTCAATTTAATATATCACTTTTATAAACAGTACTTGCACGGGTAAAACAAGTAAGAGCAATTGAATACATACTTGCTGTTTCATTGGGGTTTTATAGTACAAGAATGCAAGCTAGCATATCCTAATACTTGTGGTAAACAAGTATTGACAACGTCATTTACATAGTATTGAGTACAATAATAAAATGCTTAAATGCTAACTAAGTATTACACCTTAATTAAAAGCTACCCAAAACAACAGTAAGCAATGTTTTACACGTGCCATGGTCAATATTGTATCTCAAGGAGATCTGACCATTACAATACTAAGTTTGTAAGTAAAATGATAATAATTTAAACTCTTAAATTATTTAACAGTACTACATTATTTTGTATGTCTATACTGTTGCCCTGGGGGCTAGGACCTATGAGGAGAGTAAATTTTTACTAAATAATAACCTAATTTTACTTAATAACAAAAACGAAAAACAAAGATAGGTAGGTACTACTGGCGTCTATAGTTATATAATAACTTCACGGGAATTTAGATTTAAATGAAAAAACTTACCAAATTATCCATTCGGTTGGCTGTCGGGACTCGGGACTTGCTTTTGTGAAGAGTTCGTGGAGAAATAAAAAGTCGATTACAAAAATGTCATAAAAATAAACAAATCCAAAACAACACTGAGTACACCCAGCCTACGGATAATAATACAGCAGGCAACAGGATACAATAACAAAAATAAAATAGTTATTAAAGATAAAAACGCGGTACTATCGCACTACTCGATTTTACCAACGGACGATAGCATAATATTATTTTGCTTTTATGTAAACAGTATCTTCATTTATTATTGTTCTGTGGCTGTACATGCATGAATGACAAAATCTATTTTTATAGTTTGGATACGAATATTCGTTATGCTTTTGACACATGCAATATTTATCGGGAAACGACGAGTGACTGGCCGAGTAAAAATAATGGTCATATTTTACGATTAATTATCTCCTGCGCGACTCGTAAAGCACAGCGATTGACGACTATTCGCCAAGTACGCGAGTCGTGTGGGACCGGCTTTAGGAGCACTATACTATACAAACATGGTTCTTTATCGCTTGAATTTGTAAATTTAAAAAAAAAATATGTTTACCACATGTTTTAGCAAAGATATTGTAGGGCGTTAACAGTTACAATTCGAATAGATATATTTTATCATAATGTGTAAATATCATAACAGCCTCGGAATTGCTGAATTATTGAAAAAATATAGTAAATATTTAATTATATACTAAACATAAGTATTGTTCTTATAACTCTATAAAATTATCAAATTCAATTTATCTGATCATAACGCCCCCCCCCCCCCCCCAAGAGAGCATTAGTCTCATGTAATAATATTAACCTCAGTAGTCAGTAACGTTGATATTATCGTACGACCATTAATACTCTTCGGGATATCCTTCTAAATTTCTATCATTTTTTTTTTTTATTATAATTCGTACTAAATTTGTATTGCTTAGTTGATATGTTCTCAATTCATCTATGTATTTAAAGTTAATTAAAACGCTGCAATATAAATGTCCATAATTCATACAATCCAATCGTTATCCCACGAACCGCTATTAGTTAATGATTCTTACATTATGATTTTTGAATCTAAATTATCGTAGATTTTGAAATATCTTTATAAATAAATAAAAATAGATACGTACCAACAAAAAAAAAATATATATTTGATAAATGTTTATATTCAATACGGCAGTTTTTTTTCTAAACATTATTACTGTTAGATAACTTATGGAACATTACGTTTCAATTGTAACCATGTAAAATATTTAATTCCTATAATTTTTAATTTTAGTTATTGAGTACCCATATA